CCGTCCCCACGGTCGTACGGGATAGCCTGGCCGTCCCCACCGTCCCCACGGTCGTACGGGATAGCCTCGCCATCCCCACGGTCGTACGGGATAGCCTCGCCTTCCCCACCGTCCCCACGGTCGTACGGGATAGCCTGGCCGTCCCCACGGTCGTACGGGATAGCCTCGCCGTCCCCACCGTCCCCACAGTCATATGGGATAGCCTGGCCGTCCCCACCGTCCCCACAGTCGTACGGGATAGCCTCGCTGTCCCCACAGTTGTATGGGATAGCCTCACCGTCCCCGCCGTCCCTTCACCTGCTCCATGACCTCATCCCTTGCTTAGTGCCAGGGCCTTTCTGCTCTCGGAGGATCTTTTCCTCTGTGTGGAGGGTACATTTAGTTATTCTGAACAAAAAGGGATAAGAGAAGAAAGGAGACGAGAACGCGGGTGGGCTCCCTGGCTCCTCGTTTTGGGGATGGTCACCTTGGCCCGTCCCACTCCCTCACGGGCTGCCCGCCCCGTGTCCCTGCAGCACTCACGCGTGGACCCTGAGGAGCTCTTCACCAAGCTGGACCGTATCGGCAAGGGCTCTTTCGGGGAGGTGTACAAGGGTATTGATAACCGCACCAAGGAGGTGGTGGCCATCAAGATCATCGACCTGGAGGAGGCCGAGGATGAGATCGAGGACATCCAGCAGGAAATCACTGTGCTTAGCCAGTGCGACAGCCCATATATCACCCGCTACTTCGGCTCCTACCTGAAGGTGCCTGGGGGGTGGGGAGGGCTTGCTCTGTGCTGGGCCTGCTTCAGTAGATGCCGGTGACAGCCGCCCTCGGCCCAGCCTGCGTCCGGAGAGGTGGAGTGATGATGCCCAGTGTTCGTGCGGTTGGAGCTGCGGGACCCTGGAAGTCCCTGTACCTGCTCAGAAGGCCTGGGCTGGGTCTGCCCCCCAGGGGGACAGTGGGGCGGGCAGAGAGGCCTGGTCTGAAGGGTGAGGGACCCCAATAGTTGAATGCAGACCCATCTTCACGGTGGAGCGGGTACCCCAGAAACAGCCGTCCCAAGGGCCAGGTGGGTGTGGAGGATGTGAGTGGGGTCTAGTTAGCTCTGAAGGGTCATGGTGACCCCTCGCCTGGCTGTGGGCATCTCCCAGGGTTGGGGCAGCCCCTGTGGGACAGTGTCTGGGAGCCCTGCCGTGGGCACTCTGCAACCCCTGCAGCCGGAGCCCAGTGTCCGCTCCTGGGGGGCCTGCCCAGGGGAAGGCCTGCTTGGGGTGCAGGTACAGGGAGCCCGAGTGCTGGCTGGGCTTGCCATCTTCCTGGTCTGGTTTTTGATGGGGTGTGGGCGTAGGGGACTTGGCCACTGGTTTGTCTGCAAAGTGGTTGCACTGGGGGTCTGATAGGAGGGGAGCTGGACAGGGCTGCTGGGGCCCCTTTGTGGAGTCACCCCTGCTGGGGAGGGTGTGTCCTGGGGCCCTGGCCCGGCTGTGCCCCTTTGCTCTCTGCCCCGTGCTGACAGGTGTTCTCTGGTCCCAGAGCACGAAGCTGTGGATCATCATGGAGTATCTGGGCGGCGGTTCTGCGTTGGACCTGGTGAGGTGTAGGCCGCAGCAGTGGGCAGCTTGCCGTGGGCAGGAGCAGACAGGAGGAGGTTGCTGTGGGGGGCTGTGCCGGCAGCACCCCTGGACCCGCTGTCTGAGGCCCCCTGGCCTCTCCTTTGCCGTTCTGGTGTATTATGTATTATTTAGGAGCCCTCTAAGCCAAAAAACGAACTGCTGTTTGCAGTCCCCTTCCACTGCTTGTGCTGAGGGGTCCGGGGCCTGTAGGGTGCAGGTGAGGTGGGGGCCCCCAGGCAGACAGGCTCGGCAGTGTGGCTGGGACCCTCTTTGCAACAAAGAAGAGAGCAGTGTCCGCGCTCCCGAGAACCTCCCCAACCCCCACCTGACTCAGCACGCGGAGTTTCCTTTAATCAGGAGCTGTTAAGGGAACAAGAGGTCCCAGCTGTCCGCAGGGCCCCTCCCCTGGTAGAGAGGTGGTCGAGTTAGGGCCCTGGCGATGGGTCTGGAGTGGCGTGGAAGGAAGGGCTGGTCTGTGCTTGGGGGTGCCTGAGGCCCTCCTCTGCCTGCAGCTTAAACCCGGGCCGCTGGAGGAGACCTACATCGCCACCATCCTGCGGGAGATCCTGAAGGGCCTGGACTACTTGCACTCGGAGCGCAAGATCCACCGAGACATCAAAGGTCCCTGTGCCCCCCGACCCTGGAAGCGCCAGGGTGGGAGGTGGGGGCAGGTCGCTGGGAGGGGTGTGCGGCTGGGGGTGCTGGTTGCGCAGCCCGGGACCCTGTAGCTCAGTGCTTCTGGCCTGTACTCTCTTCTGCTGCCGGAAACCAAGCAGTTCTGTCGGATAGAAGGTAGTCGCCTGTCCCTGTATGGTGCATACCAAAAGGTATGGTCTGTACCTTTTGTGAGAAGGGACAATCCTTGCTCGTGGTCCCCCATCCGAGCGTCAGCTGTGGGTCTGAGCCACCCCACCCTGTGGCCAGCCGTGCTGAGCCGGCGAGGCAGCTGGGAGCGTGAGGCCGAGGGTCAGAGTCCCCTCTGCCTGCCGCACCATGGCTCTGCTCTTGGGCTTTGTTATGAGAGGCAAACCCTGGGAGGGCCCTGGAGCTCGTGCTGGGGGGCGCCCAGGTGGGCCCCCCATGCTTGCAGCTACCCACCCGCAGTGCCTGTGGCCCTGGGTCTCCGGCCCACTGGCTGGAGAGGAAAGCTAAGGTCCCTGAATCAGACGCGCTTGTGTCCCCAGGTGGCCTTGTGCTTCCTCGGGCAGCTGTGTGCAGGCTGGGGCCCTGCTGAGGGTGACACCTGCTGTCCTTTGTTGAGCAGCCGCCAACGTGCTGCTCTCGGAGCAGGGGGACGTGAAGCTGGCAGACTTCGGGGTGGCGGGGCAGCTCACAGACACGCAGATCAAGAGGAACACGTTTGTGGGCACCCCCTTCTGGATGGCACCGGAGGTCATCAAGCAGTCGGCCTATGACTTTAAGGTGGGCACACAGGTGGGTAGGAGGGTGGCTGCAGCACAGCCTGGGGAGCCCCTGGCAGCCACGGTCCTGTGCGGGTCTCTGTCCAGGCCGACATCTGGTCGTTGGGGATCACAGCCATCGAGCTGGCCAAGGGCGAGCCTCCGAACTCGGACCTCCACCCCATGCGTGTCCTGTTCCTGATCCCCAAGAACAGCCCGCCCACCCTGGAGGGCCACCATAGCAAGCCCTTCAAGGAGTTTGTGGAGGCCTGCCTCAACAAAGACCCCCGATTCGTAAGCCCTGTCCCGTGGTGGCGCTGGCTCCTGGGGCCCTGACTCCATGGGTCGGGCTGGGAGGGGCCTGAGCGGCGACATGCGGTGGGGCTGCTTGGGAACCAGGCCCCATGGGAGGAGAGTGGGCCTGAGGCCCCTTCCCTGTGCCAGGTGTCCCCCTGCTCCAAGCCCCTCCTGATCCCAGGGTGGGACCCACCAGCGGCTTAGCTCTAGGGGAGCTCCTCCCCCCAGCCTCCTGGTTGCCTCCTCCCACTGGGTTCCCTGGGGAGCACTGAGCTCCAGGGCCTGAAGGCAGAGCTCAGCTGTCCCTGGCACCGCGTGACCTGCCTCCTTTTCCCCGGCAGCGGCCCACTGCCAAGGAGCTCCTGAAGCACAAATTCATCACACGCTACACCAAGAAGACCTCCTTCCTCACGGAACTCATCGACCGCTACAAGCGCTGGAAGTCGGAAGGGCACGGCGAGGAGTCCAGCTCCGAGGACTCGGACATGTAGGGGCCCTTCGGGACGGTGCACACCCTCACGGCCGGAGGCCATGGGCCCCTGAAGCCCAGGCGGGCCTACTTAGCATTTAGGGCTAAGAGGTGGCCTCCAAAATAAATGGGAGGCTAGACAAGGTGTGGGCCTTGGAACTCCCAAATCCCAGCCCCCAGGGCCCTCACAACCCTTCGCCTTCCACCCCAGTGATGCAGATGCTGAGGACGGAGAGCAGGGTCCCATCTGGACGTTCCCCCCCACCATCCGGCCAAGCCCGCACAGCAAGCTGCACAAGGGGACAGCCCTGCACGGTCCCCAGAAGGTCTGACCTGGCCAGGAGGGTGGGGGGTTGCTTCTGGGGGTGGCAGTTACCCTGGCGTGGGTGCTTTCACAGAAACGGGGAGGGAGCACGCCTGCCCCCTGGGTGCGCACTCTTTCCTCTGCCCTGCTCACCCTGCTCTCGCTTTGACCTTGCAGTCTGCGGAGCCCGTCAAGAGGCAGCCGAGGTCGCAATGCCTGTCCACGCTGGTCCGGCCTGTCTTTGGAGAGGTGAGGGCCGGGCCAGGGAGTCCCCTGGGGCCGAGGGCTGTAGTGCTGCCCTGCGGACCCTTTCCACGCAGTGTTACACAAGGTTTACAGTGAGGGGTGCCGCCAGCCCACCCTGTGTGTGGGGTTTCCAGGCCCCTCGGAACCCACTGTGGTTGGGCCCGGATCTGGGGGCCAGGCTTTCTGAGCAAAGGAGAAGTGGTTGGAACAAAGTACCTTCATGTGACCTTCCCGAGTTCTCAGCCTGTTGGGGTCCTTGAACAAAACTAGTGTTCTGTGACCTTTTATTCTGAATTATAAACACGGGACGGTCACCTGTTTAGAGAGCCTGGGAGGCTCAGTTCTCGGTGTTGGAAGTCTGGCCCAGGGCAGGGAGGCCTCAAGGGTGACTCCTCAGTGGTCCTGTCCCCCTTCATGTCACCTGCTGATGGGTGATTGGTAACACCCCAGGAATACGATGCAGCCAGGTACCCCAGACCCCGGTCATGGGCCTGGTTCCCACCTAGGTGACAGCAGCACCCGGAGACCAGGGAGTGAGGACAGGATGCGGAGAGCCTGTCTGAGGGAAGTGGTGGGGTGGAGGGGCATCTGGGTACCCAGAGGGGCCTGGAATGCAAGGGGGGAGCTTGGAGAGGGGGAGGTGGCAAGACAGGGACTGTCACAGGCTAGGCACCCGGAGCTTGTGGGGCTCAGCTGGGACACGTGCCCACGCTGGCAGCGAGGCAGGGCCAGGAGGGAAGTGGCAGAGTGTCAGAGGGGCGGGCCAGGGCCGCTAGCGCCCTGGGCCACTGAGCGGGTGGCGTGGGCTTTGAGGGACGTGTGGGGGTGGGGCCGTGGGCCGCTGGAGCCCCTGCACGTGCATGGGGAGGAGGGAGGCGGCGAGCATGGCTTCATCCAGCTGGTCAGGTGCACCCCGAGGCTCCTGATTCTGTGGGCTGGGCCTGAGGTCGAGGCTGCTGGACAGGGTGCCCTGGGAGGCACACAGGCTCTTTCCCTTTTTGTTTCTGTGAGGCGTGCGGCAGGAGCACGGGGCTGACCGGTCTCTAACTGCTGCCTGCCAGGTCTGCTGGAGGGCGGGGATCCTCCATCCGGTTCCCACCGCGTGGGTGGTCGGGAGGCCAGGGGTCAGGTTGTCTGGATCTGGCCGTGCAGGGCACTTGGGGTTTTGAGCTTCTGTGACCCTCAGTTGGGAGGAAGCCACGTGGTTAGCCTGGCCCGCCCCAGCGTGAGAGGCCGGTAGCAACCCCTCTTGAGAACCATGACCTGAGATTGCCTGGGGCGCGGGGACGGGGCAGCACCTGCCTTCCCCGGCGCCCTGGGCTCTGGCTCCGTCCCTCACCAGAGCCTCCGGACTTGGTGGGACCCAGCCCAGCCCGGCCTTGTGGTGGAAGGACTGCTAGGTCTCTGGTGCAGGCGGAGGCGCGGTGCGCCGGCCCCGGGGACAGGCCGGGGAGCCTTTGGCGCGAGCCTCCCGCGAGAGCCTCCCTGCCGAGGGCCCCGTGCTCCGGTGGGAGCTCGCGGCTGAGGCACACGGGGGTCTCTCTGCAGCTCAAGGAGAAGCACAAGCAGAGCGGCGGGGGCGTGGGGGCGCTGGAGGAGTTGGAGAACGCCTTCAGCCTGGCTGAGGAGTCCTGCCCTGGCATCTCGGACAAGCTGATGGCTCACCTGGTGGAGCGGGTGCAGAGGTGAGGCCCTCGCTGGAGACAAGGCTGTGCGCATCTCCCCCACTCTCCGTTGTACCTTCCGGCCTGCTTGCCTTTAGCGGCTGTGCCCACGGGCTCGATTCAGAGAGCAGGCCGCCCGCTCGGCGAGCACCCGGGGCCCCGAGCCTGCGGCCGCCCACTGCCCACTCCCCAGCGGCAGCGGCGCACCCGGTCTGCGCTCTAGGCCAGGCTTCTTCTCCGCAGGTTTTCGCACAGCAGAAACCACCTGACGTCAACCCGCTGAAGGGCGCGGCTGCTCATGGAGCGTGGGGAGAAGGGTCTTTGTGCGGAGCTCGTCAGGCCGGGACTGACTGGGAACCCTTGTGCTGCTGCGGCCACGTGGGCCTCGCTGCCAGGTCACAGCCTCCGCCCCCTCCCGGCAGCGGGGCGGTGAACCCCGTGGCGCCCTGGACTGAGGAGCAGGGACTGTCGGGCCCGTCCGCCTCCTCCCCTGCCCGGGGGCCCACGGTGGCCACGCCGGTCGTAGATTGGCCTGCTGGTGTCGGATCAGGTACCGCGTCTCCCAAAGTACTCGAGTCAGCCAGAACTGGTTGTGGTTTTGTTTTTTTGTTTGTTTTTTTTTTAAAGAAAATGAACTTCCTCGCTTCCCTAAATGTTCTGAAGTTAAGGTGTTAGTTTTCATAGAACATGGAGAAGCTCCTGCCACTTTGAATAAAGACCTGAATTGGAGAGATGCTGGTGGTGGGTGGGGCCCGGTTCCTGGCTTCTGAGTCCTTGTCCCGGCACATGGGGACCGCGGGGCCGCTGGCAGAGGGCAGGGCGGCACGCAGGGTGCGGGGAGAAGCCCTTTATCTGGCATCCGCAAGCACGTTAGCACGAATGAACAGAGCTCGTGTCCGTTCACTTCCAATTTGTTAGGTAACACTGGGAACTAATAAATTAGAGGCCCTCGGGGGAACTTTGGTTTCCCCTTCTTCAGAGGTCTGCGGGGCGGGCACCACAGTGGCTTCTGCTGGGCCTGTGTGCAGCACGTGTCGCAGGGTCCTGTTCTAGGGCAGGCCTCAGCAGGTGCTGCTCGGGGAGAGGGGAGGGTGGATGAGCATGGGGCTTGCTCCATCCCGAGCTGGGCCTGCAGTTTCACGTGCGTGTGGGATCCTCCTGGTGCCCACGGGGCTGAGGGCATGCTGCCCCTCCCAGAGGTCACCGAGGTTTCCCCCCCCGCACACCATCCTACCCCACCCCCCATCCTATGTTGGGGACGCTGGGACATGCAGTTGCAGGGGAAGTGCTGACCCAGCTCTGCTTCCTCGGCTCTGTCCTCGTCGGGCAGGATGGGCTTCATGCCTCTTCCTCGGGACGCCTGGCCCTCCCAGGCGAGCTGCCGGCTCTCTCGATCACCTCCATCCACCTGGAGCAGAGGTGGGACCATCAGAAGCTCCCAAGATGTTCACTTGGGAGTCAAGGGATGCTCTGGTCATACCCGTGGCCTTGTGCTCAAGTTTCTTCCCAAGGACAACCCCAGACACGGAGTGAATGGGACAAAGCAAGAACCGGCGAAAACCCTGGAAGCCGTGCTCAGCAGCAGGGGACCCCAGGGGACGGCAGCAGACCCCAGGATTACCTCCCAAATGTGTACTTGCTCTCAGCTCGGAAGAAGTAGACGTGGGATTTGAACTGGAGCTTGAAGACGTGCTGCTTGTGGACGCCATCAGCCTCCTTGGGGACACTCACGCTGTAGCCCAGCAGCGGGAGGCTGGCCAGGGGGTAGTCGTCCTGCGAGGTGGCATGCAGCTCTGCAGGTGCTGTCCCCGCCACCCAGCTCTGTCCTGATGGCCGCCCTCCCCACGCTGGGGCCTGGGGAGCCCTGGGGGAGCCGGTCAAGGAGCCGGAAGACCACCCCCCCCCCCGAACTGGAAGAGTCGCAGCTAGCAGGGGCCACCGTCTGCCAGCAACAGAGGCACCCCCCCCCCGGGCACCCATACCTGATGAGTTTTGTAGAAGAACAAACAGAAATTGGTAAAGACCACCCAGAGCTTCTGCCAGCCGTTACTATTCTTGAATTTTCTCAGCAGATACCCTGAAAGCTGATTCTGCAAGAAAAGAGAAAGCCACTGGACCCGGTCCGTGTCCTAGGACTCCACGCAGAGTAGCGCCTGCTCCCCCAGAATGCAACGTCGGCCCCTACGGCCTTGCTCTGCTCTGAGCCTGTCGGCCTGTTCGTCTAACGGAAGGAGATTTAAAAATCTGGAGAATGAAATCCCAGGCACTAAGTAGAGGAACACTACGTTTCTCTTCCCTATTTAGTGATTCCAGCCGTGACCCAACAGACCACACGGAGCCAAGTAAACGCGGTTCTGACAAGACGCCCCAGCTCCCGGCCCTGAGCGTGGCGTCCACGCCAGCAGGATTAGGAGTGAGCTGCCCTCTGCCCCGGGCTGTGAGGAGGCCGGAGTCCTGACCCAGGGATGGCCACCCTGTGGCCCAGCGACCCCACTCTCTCCTCATAACCCTCCCTGTGGGGCAAGGCACGTGGGCCCCGTGTCAGGGCTGGTGCCCACGGGCACCCTGCCACTATGCCCATCCCCAGGCTCGTGGGGCCTGCGTGCGTGCCGGGCCCCAGCTGCGGCGTGAGCCTAGGGCTCTGGAGGCTTCCTCACCTGGCACTGCTGCGGCCGCCTGGGCTGTGACAGGGACTCGGAACCCCCCCCGCCCCAGAGTGGGAGGCAGCCTGAGGGCTGAAGGGCTGGAGTCCGAAGCGGCTACTGCAGGTGCTGGAGGGGAGGCAGCAGCCCCTGTGAGAGGAGCCCTTTCCAGCAACCCTGGGGGTCCTACCCTGGGTCCTCACGCACGCGCGGCTCCGAGCTGCTCTCGGGCTGGCACCAGCCCTGACGGGGACGGTCAGCCCGCAGCCTGGTGGCCGCCTGGGCCGCTCTGCCAGAGGGGACTTGCCTGCCTGGCTTCCTGCCCACGGGGACGGAGCAGGCGAGCGGCCCCCCGAGCCCCGCCCGTTAGCCCTCACAAGCGGGGGGCGCCCGCGGCGGCCGTACCTCGACAGCCGCGCTGTGGTCGGCTCTGGAGACGCTGGCGTTGCGGTGCCAGCACACGTGCACTGTGGTGTTGGCCCGGTGCTGGCCCTGCCCCTCCAGGGCCCCTTCGGACTCCTGCTCCAGAGCGACCTCCTCAGAGGATCCTGGGGGGAGTCCGCCCCCCTCAGAGGTGGGGGCAGGGGGCGAGGAGGGCCCGGGGCGCCCCGGGCCCAGGGCCCACACAGCGTGCTTCTGCCAGAGGAGCTCGCTGTCCCTCCTGGCCCCTCCCCACCCCAGGGGGCCCAGAACATTCCTTGTGGAAGGAGAGCACGTGGGCTCTAGCAGGAGGCCTGTGACCGAGAAAATGGATTTGCAGGGGCGCCTGGGTGGCTCAGTCGGAGCGTCCGACTCTTCGGCTCAGGTCACGATCTCAGGGTCTTGAGGTCGAGCCCCACGTCGGGCTCCCTGCCCTGTGGGGAGTCTGCTTCTCACTCGGCCCCTCCCCTCCCCACTCACGCACTCACGCACTCCCGCTCGCCAAAACAGAAGGGCTTCGTGGGGAAGCTTGCTTAGGTGCGGAGGGGGTTCCACAGGGGCAACTCACTGTAGGGAGGAGCGCACACCACGCTGCCCGGCAGCGCCAGGGATTGGTCACTCCCGCCCTTGGCCGCATCGATGGCGGTGTTCAGGTCACACAGCCACTTCTCCTTTTCCAGGCGAGTGCTGGGGGGAGGGCCGAGGCTCAGAGCCGGCTCGGCAGGGCCATCAGGGCCTCCTTGCTGTGCCAGCTCCTCAGAGCAGGACAGAAGGTCGGAGTGCCCTGCGCTGTGGGCCCCGGGGCTGTCGGGAATGCTGCTGGGGGCCCAGCCCGCATCCCCTTGGGAGCTGTTGGGGGCGGCAGAGGAGGGAAGGCAGCCCTTCAGCGCTGGGACCGGGGCTTCTGTAAGGGGGGTTGGTTCCCGAAACAAGGACTTTGGAGTCTCTGGTGCCAAGATACAGGGTTGGTTGCTGGTTCCTGTCCAGGTGCCCAGGCTGCGGGGGGGCGCTCGTGTCCCGTGCTCGCTGCCATCAGCCAGGACGTCAGTCAGGACGCGGCAGGGTGGGAGCTGAGAGCCAGGCGCCCACCCAGGAGGAGGATAGCCTCTCCCCCCGGGAAGGTGCTGGGGACCCCCAGCTCCCATAGGGGAGAGACAGCCGCCTGCTCACCATTGGGCTCGGGCCTCCTCCCCGCCGGACGTGATTTGGGAAAAGTGGCTGCTACCAAGTTACAGCCCTGCTGTGGGGACAGGATGCAGGTGAGACGGCCCTGGTGTGGCTGCCCTGCAGGCCCTCCCCCGGACTTGAGGCTGCCTCAGTGCGCGTGCCTGGGGGTCGAGTGCCGTGGACTGAGGCTTGGGGGCCGCTCTGTGCGGACGTTCTCAGTGGCCACAAGCTTCCCACCCAAGGAGAAGCTGCTCTCCCCGGTCACATAACTGAAGCGGGGCCCACCAGAGAGGCAGGCGTGGAAAGCTCGTACCTGGCTGCCACCACGACCGTTTTCTGTGCGGCACAAATGGTGAAACAGTGCGGAACAGAGCGTTCGGGCTCGCCTTCTTCAACCTGTGGCGGGAGGAGAGGCAAACGTCTGGAGCTAGCGCAGGGCGGGCGGGCCCCATGCTTGCAGCCCAACACAGTGCCGCGGAAGCCCTGTGCGAGTCTACGCGGACTACGAGGGGCTACAGGAGGCACGAGGATCCCCACGCCATGGCACCTGCCACCCAGGTGGCTGAGCTGTGGGCCACAGGGCACCCAACTACTCACCGGTGGGTCCAGCACTATTAGCTGAAAGTCAAGCACAGGAAAAAATATTGAGCATTTTCATTATTAAAAAGGGAATTGGACAATTCACTTTATAAACCTGGTACCAAAACCTAACAGTTAGATTCAAAGAAAAACCTACACGACTGCTCTCAGTGTTAAGTGACTGAAATAACTCCCAGATAAAATACCACCTAACCCAGCCTAAAGCACAGACAGGAAATTGTCCCAGGACCAAGTAAGGTTCTAGGAATGCAAGGGTGCTTCAACCCTGTCCTTGAGTCCACGGGGAAGGGGCGGACATCTCTACGTGCTGCACACACCTTTGCTAAAATCCAACGTGTGATTTCTGATATCTCTTAGATAGAAACACGAGGAAGATGTAAACACGAGAGAGGTCCTCTTTCTGAAGCCAAGACCTGTCGCCCTTCCCTCTGCGCAGGATGAGGGCCGGCTGTCTGTCCCCCGGGACCAGCCAGTTACAGGCGGCCCCAGGATGGACAGTTGGCCTGCGCGGGGCCCAGGAGACACCAACCACGGAGCTCGTGGGGCGCACACGATCCGAAATGAGCAGGAGCAGTGGCCAGCAAGAAAAGGTCAAGATGTTCGTCTTCTCTTACCCTGAGTTAGCATGTAAATGTAATGCGATTTCAATAGAAATCTGAGTGCTGTTTTTTGAAGGAATTTGTCCAAATGATTCCTAAGTTTATTTTGAAGAATTAAATACTTGAGAGCACAAAACACTTTTTAAAAAGGACACCCACATAGCGACTCTTCACCCACATAGCGACTCTTCCACACAACACATGACTCAGGAGAATGTGGACGGATGGTGGCGCAGACATGGAATAGAAGGCCCAGAAAGAACCCCAAGCGTGAAGGCGGGAACTGTTGCCATGAGGAGGGCAGCCGCACGGATGGGGGAAAGCAAGTGGTGCGGCCCAGTCCAGCCACCCAGGGACACACGTGGAGACAGTTTATGCAGTAAGAAAAAGCAAACTGTAAATGTGTCAGAAGAAAAAGGTGCTAATATGATCTTGGTATGGGGAAGGACTTCGGAGTCTGTACTCAAAAGCTGGACGAGGACTACAGAGATGTCTGATTTCCCTCCTTGAACAGGTACTTGTTGGGCCCTCTCTGCCAGATGCTGTCCCAGGAGTAAGACAACAGTGTCTGTCCAGGGGGGTTTCAAATCTACAAGATAAAACCAAACTGTAGGAAACATAAAAAAGAATTACAAACTGGAGAAAGTACCTGGGACCCCTGAAAGCAGGCTGGTGTCTATAAATAGAGACTAGAGTGACAGATACGCCTGGGCGCCACCCCAGGGGGAGGCCCCAGACTCCAAGAGACACGGACTCCGTCAGCCTCACTGACAACTGCGGAGGGTGAGGGGTGAACACCCCGTGCTCCCCCACCCCAGGCTGTGGGAAGACAGGTTCGGACGCACTGAGTAGGAAGGTCGGCTGGGGCAGGTGCTACACCAGTGACTCCCGGTCCTGTTCAGAGGCTCAAAAGCCGATGTATCCGCTGCTCAGACAGTATGTTTTAGGCGTAGGTGAGGATGTGTCGAAAGAGATCCAATGGTGTCATTTCTAATTCTGAAAAACTAAATGGAGCCAAAATGCCCAGTGTAGGGAAATAGGAAAGTTGGAGTCTGGCTCGCCAGCCTGCTGCTCATCTCCTCGAAATGAACACACAGCTCCCGGGTTACAAGCAAGGAGACGTTAGCGACGAACCGCGTGGCCGCCAAGAGTATCAGTTACCTCCGAAGACCGAAGGGCATGTCGCAAAATGCCCACAGTGTGTATTACTAGGTGGTCCAGTCATGAGTGACTTATTTTATATTTTCAGTTTTTTTCTATGATGAAAGTATCATTTTTAAAAAGTATACTTTAGAACAGATGGGGTGTGCTTCTGGCGATGGCAGACGTGCCATTCAAACAGGCCCCCTTTTTGCTGAGGGTTAAAAAAGCTGAACCAAATGTTACGCCTGCCGAAGGCTCAGGTGCCCAGTGGAAGGAGGGACAGTGCTGAGGACCATGGAGGGCTAAGCACGGAAGGTACCCTTGAAGAAGGCGGTAGAAATTGAGGCAGACTGGCCAAGTGTAACAGAGCAGAGTGGGGTCTGACCCCCCACCCGTGGACACCTGGACCGGGGGCTTCCTGTCAAAAACCTGAACTTGGCCTCCTTTCTTTACTGTTCCCAAAGATGGGTTCCAGGCTGAGTGCAGGTCTACACTCAAGGGCAAATGGAGAATGAGTCAATGTGTGTGTAGGAGTTTCTCCGTGACCTTCAAGCAGGGTCTCTGTCAGGCCACGGAAAGCACTGAGCACAAAGAGCAAGGCTGAGGAACTGGGTCACATGAAAACAAAGGGCTCGTCAGAGATGACATGAAGTGTCCTGTCGAACCTGTGACGTGGACGTGTGACAGGTACGTGGCATGGACAGAGGGCTCGCTGTGCAACAGGGTCGTCGATGGCCCAGGCCTGCTACGGCAGCGCACGGGTGGAAGGGGACCTGTCCCCCCGGCAGCTCACACAACGCGGAGGGGAGACCCGAGCCCAGCCCCGAACTGCAGCCCTCCTCACTCGCCCATGGTGCTGTCTTGCCACTTTGAAGGTGTGCGTGTGCACATGCATGTGTGTGAGACAACTAGTTAGGGTGACAGAAAGGGAGCACAGTTGCTCTTATAGGAAGAGACAGAAGCACAAGAACAGAGAAAGGCTCTATAGTCTAGAATTAGTGGTTCAGGTGTCTCTTTCAGAAGCTGTGTCAGCTCCACCCCCCCAAGCGCCCAACTGGGGTCTTTCATCGCGCCTCCTCCTGAAGGCCAGGCTCCCGGGGGCCTCGTCCTCAGGGGCGGAGGCTGCAGGCAGGGCCCGTGGAGCACCAAGAATGTAACCACGGCGGCCTGAGAAGGACCGGCATCGCGCCCAAGCACTCACCAGCATGCCACGGAGGGGAAGGAGGCCCCGGATCCGGAAGTGGCTGGTGCCCGTGACACCTTGGCTTGAGTACAGCAGCATGTCTGAGAACTGAGACGGGAGGCTTTAAGTGACAAGCTTCCATGTCTAACAGTCCTTGGTTCAGCTCGGGTCGTGATCTCAGGGTCGTGAGATCGAGCCCCACGTCGGCTTCTGCGCTCAGGTTGGAGTCTGCTTAAGTTTCTCTCTCCCTCTGCCCTTCCCCTCCATGCTTTCTCTCTCTCGCTCAAATAAGTATTTTTTAAAAGGTTAAATTATTTTGACAAGAGATAGCTAGTAACCCCATGAGTCAGCAGGTCTCTTGGGCCAGCGCCCAGCACCCGCCGGCTAGAGGCAGTGGGGAGTTCTGGCTGGTCCGTCCCCTCAGCCAGGATGGCTCAGGCTTGAGTCGACCAACTGGCACGAGGAAGCGATCGAGGGTCCTCGCGGGGAGGGCCTCGGCTCTCCATGGCAAAGCCAGCGCTCAGCATAACATGCCTGCAGCAACAGGGACTTGGATTTGCTATCTTCTGGCTTTCTGAGGGTCCCGCAGACAGGCGCCCAGAATACCCAGTGAGGATGGCACCTCGCTGGGAGTGTTTTCTGCGGTCCTCACCTGGCTGTCTGACTTGGGGCCGCTCACCTGGACCACAGCCTTGGCTCCCCTAACAGAACCACACTCATCCCACCTACCAGAAAGAACATCCTCTGCTGCAGGCCCTTCTTGGTGAGCTTGTGAAGGCAGCCCTCGCGGATAAACTCCTGAGAGAGAGAGAGGAGGTCCTTTGGTGCCAGTCCCAGGCCGCTTCCGCGGGTGGTGTGCTGGCGGGGCCTCGGGCCAGGCTGATGTCACTGTTGATACTTCTCCCAGCCCCTCACAGGCCCTCCCTTTGACGGCGCCCCCCTGCCCAGGACCCTCCACGTCTTTCCAGCCTCTTCCCTCCTGCCTGCTTGCTGTGACCATCCACATCAGTCCCCAGACTGTCTGCTGAGCATCTGTGGTGTCTCACCACAGGCCAGCTACGCTGAGGGCCTTCATGTAAGGCAAACGGTGTTGTTCTTGTTGAGGGCAAGCTCCTGGAAGGCTTAGGCACGGAGATCTCGAGCTCAGCCTTGAGAAACACTGGGCCAGAGCAGCCTGAGGACGGCACACCTGGTTCTCATCAAATGCTGACAGGTAGTGAGCGTCAGCTGCCACCTGGGCATCGGCACGTGGAGAGGGTGATGAGACACTGGTGGGGCTGGAGCTCCAGCAGGAGCCACAGAGGGAGAGGAGAAGGTTCTGCCTCTCCCTCCAGGGCCTGATGGTACCGCCAGGACTTGGGGACGCCTCACACGTCCCACTGGTGTTGGAGTGCCGCCGCCCAGGCCCACACATACACCCCTGAAGGCGCAGATGTCAAAACAGGCCCCTAACTGCCCGCGCCGCTGGCGGGAAGTGTCCGAAGAATTCTGGTTTGAACAATTTCCAGATATCCTCCTGCCGATCTGTTGGTCCTTTCAGATAAGTAGGAGCACGAGCTTCACACCCTGAGAACTTGCCAGAAGACCCCAGCCCTCAAATGGACTGAGCAAAGGCACAGAGAAGAGAACTTCACAGGAGCCTTGTCGACAAAAGGAGATGAGGAGGGCGTGCCCTGGCATGGCGCCAGCACTGCACGATGGGCTGGGCCCGATTCTGAGTGTGATTCTGAGCTCCAGGCTTCTGCGGCTTTGACGTCAGACCCACCTTCCCCACCCTGCTCTTTGGCAGAGGGCGAGTGGGTAGCCCCTGCCTCTTCCTGCGGCCACAAATCCTATTTGCAGGGGTTCCTGCCCTCACAGAGCCAGCTCCACCACCCGACCCCCAAACCCCCAGACCCAAGGACCCAGCTGGGCAGCAGCCCCTTCCCCAGGGGAGCGTGTCCCAGGCCTGTGGGTGCTCTTCCCTCAAACCCCACCCCCGCCACACTGTGGGCCCGCCCTTGGCAGCACCTGCATTCTGCCTCTTAGATATTTCCCAGTTCTTCTTACCCTTTGATACCTCGTTATCAACTTTCTTCCTAGTTAACGACCCTTGTTCTTAAAGTCCTCTGCTCACATAACTAGTGTGGTTTCTGTCTCTGACTGACACACATATTTAACAAGGAGACCGGTAGGCCTGGGTTCGGACTTTTAGAGAGTTCAGCTAAAAACAATGGCAGCAAGTGTTCGCATACCAACTACTTTGTGCAAGGCACTGGGCCAAGCAGTCCCCTTGTTGCCCCAAGACCCTCTATATCACGGACGTGAAGCAACCTGCCCAGGCCACACACAGAGCCTACCCGACCCCTCCTCTGTGGCTACTCTCCTTACCCCTCAGTGACAGTTCCCAGGGGCCACCATCTGTAACACACCGGGTGGGGCACGACGAGAAACTGAGAGCCCTACGGACCTCCCGGAGCTCCCAGCCAACAGCTCCACTCAGAGCCCCATGGCTAAGGACAGAAAGGAAACGGAGCTATCCTGGTACCCAACCAAAGCCCTAACTCCAGGAGATCAGAACCTTCCTGTACATTTTAGTGTAGTTCACTTCTTTGAGTTTGTGATCCCACATTCTCTGTACCTTCTAACAAGGCTAACATGGAGACGACTAACACAGCCACACTCTATTACATGTATGTTTGTGTTGAGACAGGAAACATCCTCATGCAACCCGTAAAATGGGTTTCTTCTGTTGACAGTACTGAGTTCAAAAAGGCATTAGTGACAAAGTAGGCAGTGTAGATATGTAGACCCATGGAATAGGATTGAGAGTTCAAAATTAAACTTGCACATCTGTGTCTATGGACAGTTCAGCAAATGGCGCTGGATATTCACATGGAAAAAAATGAAGTGGGACCCCTACCTCACACCACACAAAAATGAATTAAAAAACCATCAAATCTAAATGTTAAGAGCTGAAACACAGGAACTTTCTAGAAGAAAACACAGAGGCAAACTGTCATACTGTGGACCGGGCAGTGATGTCTCATCTGTGACAACTAAAGCACAAGCCACCCAAGAGAAAATACGCAAATTTGACTTCATAAAAATAAAAAAACCTTCTGTGTTGTAAATGATACCATTGAGAAAATGAAGAAACAACCCACAAAATGGGAGGACATATTTGCAAATCCTATTAAGTGTCCCGGGTCCAGAATAGATAAAGAATCTCACAACTTGGGGCGCCTGCCTTCGGCTCAGGTCATGATCCCAGGGTCCTGGGATCGAGCCCTGCGTCGGGCTCCCTGCTCAGCAGAGAGCCTGCTTCTCCCTTTCCCTCTGCCTGCCACTCTGCCTACTTGTGCTAGCTCTCTGTCAAATAAATAAATTTAAAAAAATCTTAAAAAAAAAAAAAGAATCTCACAACTCAACAGCAAAAAGACAACCCAATTAAAAGGTAGGCAAAGGATCTGAATAGGCATTTCTCCAAAGAAGGCACACAAGTGGCTAATAAACACAGGACAAGAAACCTGACATTAGCCATCTGAGAAATGGAAATCACACCCACAATGAGATACCATTACATACCACCATGATGGCTGGAATCAAAAAGATAAGATATGGAGAAACCAGATCCCTAACACACTCCGGGTAGGAATGTAAAATTGCCCAGTAACTAGAAAACCGGCAGCTTCTCAAAATGTGAAACACAGTTACCATGTGACCCAGCAGCTCCACTCCTAGGTATCTACCCAGGAGAATTGAAAGCACATGGTCACACAAGGACCTGTGCACAAATGTTCACAGCGGCATTATTCCCAATCACCACGAAAGGGAAGCAACCTGAGTGTACAGCAGATGAGCGGACAAACAGAGTGTGGTGCGTGCAGAGACTGGAACTGATGCAGTCGCTGAAAGGAGGTGCTGACCTACTAAAGCAAGAACCTGGGAGACAGGAGGCTCGGCGAAAGAAGCTAGACACAAAAGGCCACATAGTGAGTCCATTTATTGGAAATGTCCAGGAGAGGCAAAGCCACCAAGAGTGGATGAGTAGCTGCCATAGATTGGGGAGGGGGTGGGGATGGACTTAACAGGTACAGCTTTTCTTGTTGGGGGGATGAAAATGTCCTGGAATTACTGGTGATGATGGCACAATCTTGTGGATATACTAAAGACCACTGGACTGCACAGTGGATTCTGTGGTATGTGTCTCAATTACATGCAATGAAATGAAAAAGAACAAGGCTGGAGGCATCACAACCCCAGAATTTAAGGTATACTACAAAGCTGTAGTCATCAAAACAGTATGGTACTGGCCCAAAAACAGACACAGAGATCAACGGAACACAACGGAAAAACCCAGAAATAAACCCACTATTATACGGTCAATTGATTTTTGACAATGGAAGCAAGAATATGCAATGGGGAAAAGATGGTCTCTTCAACAAATGGTGCTGGGAAAACTGGACAGCAACATGCAAAAGAATGAAACTGGACCACTTTCTCACACCATACAGGAAAATAAATTCAATATGTATTAAAGACCTAAATGTGAGACCTGAAACCATAAAAATCCTAGAAGAAAATGCAGGCTGTAACTTCTCTGACGTAAGCCTTAGCAACAGTTTTCTAGATACCTCTCTTGAGGTAAGGGAAACAGAAGCAAAAATAAACTATTGGGACTTCATCAGAATAAGTTTTTGCACAGCAAAGGAAACAATCAACGAAACACAAAGGTAACCTACTGAATGGGAGAAGGTATTTGCAAATGACATATCTGATAAAGGGTTAATATCCAAAATACACAAAGAACTTACACAACTTAACACCACAAAACGAAATAATCCGATTAAAAATGGCCAGAGGACATGAACAGACATTTCTCCAAAGAAAACCTACAGATGGCCAACAAAAACATGAAAAGATGCTCAACATCACTTATCATCAGGGAAATTCAAATGGAAACCACAACAAGATACCATGTCACACCTGTTAGGACGACTTTAAAACACAAGAAACAATGTGCTGGCGAGGTTGTAGGAATGCAAACTGGTGCAGCCACTCTGGAAAACAGTATGGAGGGTCCTCAAAAAGTTAAAATAGAATTACCACATGATCCAGTGATCACACTATTGGGTATTTACCCAAAGAAAAAGAAAACACTAATCTGAAAAGATATATGCACCCCTATGTTAACTGCAGCATTATTTACAATAGCAAAGACATGGAAGCAGCCCAAGTGTTCATTGACAGATGAATCGATAAGGAAGGTGTGGTGTATGTACAATGGAATATTATCCAGCCATAAAAAAAGAATGAAATCTTGCTATTTACATCAACATGGATGGATCTAGAGAGTATGATACCAAGTGAAATATGCCAGCCAGAGAAAGACAAATACCATGTGATTTCACTCTTTGTGGAATTTAAGAAACAAAACAAATGAACAAAGGAAAAAAAGAGGCAAACCAAGAAACAGACCCTGAACTATAGAGAACACACCGATGGTTACCAGAGGGGAGGCGGGTGGGGGGGATGGGTGAAACAGGTGACGGCGATTAGAGCACACTCAACGTGATGAGCACTGAGTCATGCACAGAACTGTTGAACCGCTAGATTTTACACCTGAAACTCAGAGAACACTGTATGTTAACTACACTGGAATTAAAAACAAAACAAAACAATGAAGTGACCATCTCAAAGACCTTTCTCAAAGTCACTCACCCTGCCGGGAGTGATGAGATTCTCTACGCCAACCAAGTCGCGCTGCAGCTCTGTGAGTTTCTGGAGGTTTTCCAGCCGAGCGAGGCTGTGCTGGAGTGTGGAGGTCACCTCTGTGATGGCCTGGAGGGCATCTGTGGGGAAAGACCCCTCATACAGGTGCCCAAGCAGGTGGGCACGGACGGAACCCCCCCACTCACCCCTTTGGGACAGGAACTCGCATTTTAAAAGGCAGGTTTAATTCAAGGAACCTTCTGCTCCCAGCTCCTCACAGGACTGCCACCCTTGGTTTTCAGCTGCCGGTGCAGCAAGTGGGGGTCCCCGCAGCTGACCCGAAACTTGGACTTATTCAGCCCAAACAGTGGACTAGCTGACACTCAAGCTCGGTAAAAAGAGAACAATCTTTGTGAAGAACTCATGTTCTGGGCGCAGCAGTATTTGTTCTTTTGAGAGAATTGCCGACTGTAGTTTAGAGGCTAAATAATTTGCATCTTTAAAACATTTGTACTTTTCTCCTCGAATGGAGGAACAGGTGCTGATCTTACAGTTCCAGTACAGATGTGAAGGTTTCTAATCAGAAAGGGAAACTCATGCAGACAGAACACAGAAGCAGACATGGAGGGTGGTCTGCGCGGTCCTGACCAGGCCACACTGGAATCAGCTGCTTAGCCGGAGCGCAGTGACCACATCAGAGAACCTGCTGTCTTCCGGCCAGGACCCCCACTGACACCCTGGCCACAGTGCCTGGTGGTCCCAAGAGGCACAGCAGGAAACGTCTGCCCCCTTGGCTCCGCCCCTGCAAGTTGGTTGCTCCCAGTGGGGTGAGGACACCTGCCTCACGGCTTTAAGAGGAGAAAGATAAGAAAGCACATGCTTTGGCGAGTTATTCCTCCATAAAGTGGACCACCGTAAGAGCCGCAGGGATGCTCCCACAGGGCTGACACCCAGGGTCAGCTCTGTAAATACTCCTGAGCTCCTGCCCCATCTGGCCTTACTGTCCTTCAGGGCCCCACTCAAGTCTGGACACGAGGTCAGGCGGAGACTCGCTTTGCTCTGCTCATCCACTGCGGGCTGCCTAGCCCGTGTCTGCCTCGGACGGCACCCCGCACCACTCAGCCACCGCATGTGCGTGGAGCGGGGGGTCGGAAGCTTGGTTGCCACATGGGCTCACACTGCCCCTGCACTGGCACTGGGAGCTGCTGGAATCTGGAGATGCACTTCTGACCTGATGCCAGACTGATGTCCCCAGGCCCACCTGCGCCTGGGTCTCCACAGATGCATCGTCCTGTTGAAGGATCATCAACACGCTTGGTGCCTGGCCCGCGCCAGGCACTGCCCTTGGGAAACACTGAACTAAGGATAAAACAACGATGCAAAGCCACCTTCTCAAACCCCAACCTAAAGGTACCCCCTTTTGCCCAGTAGGTTCAAACTCAAGCTTTCCCTGAGGCCTACGGGTAGGGGAACAGGTGGGAAGGGGCCCCCATCGGTGGCTTTCCCAGGGCTCGGAGGCAGCCAGGCTCTGCAGCAAACCCGTCTAGGCTGGTGGGTTATCACCCCTCTGTTGTGTTCACAGTTCACACAGCACGTTCAGAAATGCAACCTTGTTGGGGTCTTGCATCAGCCTACAGGCTGGGTCCTACTAAGCAGGAACCCCCCAGTGGCAAGTGGGCCCAGCCTTCTCTGCTCCCACTGGCGCCCCGCCCC